AAACAAAATTTTGATTTTAGAAAATTTGGAGTAATAATTGGAGCAAGAGTTATTGTAAGGGATCATTATTATTGTTGGTATAGAAACAAACTTCGACTTGAGAAATTATTTCAATTTTTTATATTTCAAAATTATATTTTTCATGCTTAAAAGATAAAGGAAATGTGACAAGGAGTTGGTGGGATTTTTGTTGAATTTTTCTAAATTTGGATAATTTATTATGATTTTTGGAAGTTGAAATATGAAAAATACTAATAAATGGAAGAGAGTGACACATGGCAATGTCTCATAGGTGGGTCATAATAGTGTCCGACAGGTGTCATTCTCTTCCATTTATTAGTATTTTCCAATGCTTGAAGTTCCAAAAATCATAATAAATTCATACAAAATTTGAAAATTTCATCAAAAAATCTCACAAACTCTTTATCACATTTCCTTCATCTTTTAAGATTTAAAAATAATAATACTATTTTAACATATACAAAATTCAAATAATTTCACAAAGTCAAGTTTGTTTCTATACTAACAAAAATACTACTCTCCCTTACAATAACTCTTCCTCCCATTATTACTTCAAATTTTCTAAAGTCAAAATTTTATTTTCACAGATCATAATCGAAAATAATGTCACAAGGAGCTTTTAGAAAATTTCTATGCATTCTTCTGAATTTTTTTTATTCATTTTTTGTGAATTGTTTAATTTTAAGAGACTAATCCTGATTGTTTAATTTTTTGTGAACCACTGATTGTAACAACCCAATCCTTAATACATTTTTTATTATTAATTTATTCAATTAAAAGACTAAAATACCCTCATAATATTTTATTAGAATCAAAGTTGAGTTTTTGATCGGGAAAGAATTTGGAAATTACGATTGTACGGTTGCATAGATCGCGCCAAATTGAGTCCGTAGACATGTAGTGGGTTCAAATCGGAGTTATAACGAAGAAAATATGATCAAAATAAGTTGAGGGGCAAAATCGTAATTTTGTAAATCAGCTTTAAAAAAAAATACCCTCTCTCTCTCTCTGCGCGCCACACCAACCCACCCATGCCCCCCCCCCCGGGGGCGAGTTCCCCCCCAGCCGTGCCTCCCAATCGACCAAACCACCGCCTCCGGCCACCAGATGCCACGACACTAGAGCCAAACGGTCCGGCCTGACGCCGCCTTCGAAACCCAGGTCACCCCCGGCCGTCTACCGTCGTTGAACCGCCGGAAAAAGCCTAGAAACAGCCTATTTTTGACAGGATTTTCGCTGGCTCGATCTCTCTCCTCCGGCATCCATTTTCGGTGATCAAGGCATGGAATCTCATCTAATCTTCGAGATCTAGCTGATGGTTGGGTAGGAATTGATCAAATCGTAGTGTAGATAATCCAATTTTTGAACCCAAGATTCGGCCGGATTTCGGGATGAAATTCCGGCCACTTCCGGCCATTTTTTGGGGTATGTCCAAGAACAAAAGTGACTCCAATCGATGTCTTGAACCTAGGGTAGGAAGTCTGGCCCTTGATTTTGAGATTTTTCCGATGAGTGTTATTGCTTTGGGCATCCACACGCTGCGGGAGTGCGTGGTGTGGGGTACTGTAGTGTAGGGGCATTGTGTCCCAGTGCGATCCCCTAGTTGTCACGAGCACGTAGGCGTGCTCGGATTCCATTTTGGTTACTGTTTGAATCCCGAACGGATTTCGCCTATTGTGCATTATCCGGCTTCGATACGTTAGAACTGTTGGATCGCTCCCAATTTAATAAATGTTGTACCTCGTATTTTCAGGATCGTGTAGGATTCGACGGATTGTGAATCGGAGTTTCGGATACTTTGAAAGCGAGAACCCTGGGCAAGATAAATTGTAGTCGTCCGATCGTGATCAATCCGACCATTCGATTTGGACGAAACTTGCAAGGTAGGTTCAGAAGAGTGCGTTGAACCTAGAGGGATTCCCGGAAATGTGATCAGAGGTAGTGGGCCCTGCGGTCCCGGTTGACCAAGATTAGGCCGTTTGGACCCTCGGTTGACCATGAGTCTTCCAAGGTAGTTTATCCTTCGAAAAGTGTTAGAACGACCAGGTAAATGAGTTTTGATTGGAAGTTGGGTGATTCTGACCCTGTCCGGTTAGATGATTGTTTTATAGTATCTTATAGAAATGATTGGATAGTATATCAATAATTGAAATTATGGAAGTGTATTATAGTATGTGATGGTAAACCTAAAGAATATTGTTGATAATTGGGGATTATGCAATATAGAGAACTGATCTCTGTAAAATTGAGAAGAGAATATAAGTAAGGCATGTGAAATAAGAGGAATTTTAAGATAAAGTTCAGAATATGGTTTTCAACCCACTTCAGGAGTACCCCCTAGTTGCCTTTGGAAACAGATTTTCCATTTATGACAATGCCCGACGAATTTTACAGACGCTTGAACCGTGTGGTGCGAGGAATGCGTCTTAGGCTGACTAATGGTCTCCTGAGGCCTACGAGGGATGCGGTTCGGGTTGACTTGGTATCTTCGAGGTCTGTGAGGAATGCGGCTCCTTTAACCTTGGGTTTCCGAGGCCTGCGAGGATGAAATTGACGGATATATGGAATTGATGGAATATGGATGGGGGTACGTCCGGGTGGGGTGTTTCCTAATATAAATAATTTTATATATAAGTACAACCAATTTCTTAAGCTATGAGTTGTTATAAAGTTAAAGAGTTAAAGAGTTAGAAGAACTATGTGTGGCTTGATCTCTTGTTAAGGGTACGTAGACAGCCTAGAGTTACTAGGTGCCGCCGCAAGGTCAAGTGATTGAAAAGCAGTCCAGTTAAGTTAATTTGAAACCTAACAATGTTATGGAGATGTACTAAGATTTAGAATCAAATTTCATAAGCAGAATGATTTAATTGCTTTGTTGAGGCCTGAGGCCAGAATGATATGATACTTGATTGCTTGGATATAATTTAATGCATGCTAAACGATTGGGATATATATATATATATATATAAATGTTTGTTGATAGGTGGAAACTTTTGGGAAATGAGCAAATTACAAGGGAGACTCTATCGAATTTTCAGTAGAAGTCTTACTGATAGAAAAATTGGTTTCTAGTTAGAAGGGCAATTTGGTCATTTATTCCTGGCATTCGCCAGGTGTCCGACATGCACATGGTTCGACTCGGATTCCAAAGTGGAATTTGGGTCGGGTCTTGTCACTGATGACACATGGCGCTATACGATATTGACACCTGTCGGACACTCTTATGACCCACCTATGAGACATTGCCATGTGTCATTCTTTTCCATTTATTAGTATTTTTCATATTTTAACTTTCAAAAATCATAATAAATTAATCCACATTCAGAAAAATTCGCCAAAAAATCCCACCAACTCCATTTCACATTTCCTTTATCTTTTAAGCATGAAAAATATAATTTTGAAATATAAAAAATTGAAATAATTTCTCAAATCCAAGTTTGTTTATATACCAACAATAATACTATGTTGAACATCCCCTACAATAACTCTTGCTCCAATTATTATTCCAAATTTTCTAAAGTCAAAATTTTGTTTTCACACAACATAGTCGAAGATAATGTCGCAACGAGGTTTTATAATTTTTTGTGCATTTTTCTGATTTTAAATTCATTTTTTATGACATTTTTTTGTTTAAGATACAAAAATGAACTTCTGATGGCACGTGGTGCTATACGATACTGACACCTGTCAGACACTCTGATAACGCACTAATCTGGTGTTGCCATGTGTCATTCTCTTCCATTTATTAGTACTTTCCCATGCTTGAAATTCCAAAAATCATAATAAATTCATACAAAATCTGAAAATTTCACCAAAAAATCCCACAAACTGCTTATTGCATTTCCTTCATCTTTTAAGCTTTAAAAAAATTATTTTGACATATACAAAATTCAAATAATTTCTCAAAGTCAAGTTTGTTTCTATACTAACAGTAGTAATAATTACTCTCCCTTACAATAACTCTTCCTCCCATTATTACTTCAAATTTTCCAAAGTCAAAATTTTATTTTCACACATCATAATTGAAGATAATGTCAAAAGGAGTTTTTAGAAATTTTTGGTACATTTTTTCGGATTTTCGATTTTGTATTCATTTTTTGTGAATTTTTTAAGGTAAGACACAAGAATGAAGCTACGATGACACGTGGCGTTACGTGATATTGACACCTGTCGAAATCTGTGATGACACACCTATGAAACGATGCCATGTGTCATTATATTTCATTTATTACTATTTTACAATTCTTTAATTTCCATAAATCATAAAAATTCACAAAAATTCACAAAAAAATCATACGAACTCATTGTGACATTTAATTCATATTTTAAGCTTTAAATCAATTTTGATGTCAAAACAAACAAATAATTGAATAGATGCATGGCGGTGGTACGATGGTCAGGTACAAGGCAACCGAAGCTTTAAACAAGGGCCTGCACAAATTAAATGAACACAATAAAAATAAAATCGAGCTGCTAAAATTCCAATATTAAACCCAAAAAGAAACAAAACAGTCCCAATTCAACATTCAGGGGCATACTCAACAGAAAATGCAGCAGTACAAAAAATACGTTTAAGCAATTTCTTTATTTTATTTTTCTATATTTGATTACATTGTGATTTAGCATATTACTGGTATCAGTTTCCAAACACTGCAGACAAAGCAACATATGCACATCAATAACCCCTCAATAATTTGTCAATAACCAGTGAATAATTTATCAATAGTCCACCAATATTGTGTCAGTCACCCATCAATAGTTTACCAACAACCAGTCAGTGCGTCAGTGACGGCTCCTTACCCACTTTCACTTTTGTATTGAAATAAAGCGCGTCAATGAAAATATAAATTTCAGCGTTTGACCACTTTTGTTGCTGCCAATTTAGGCCCACATAGAAGGTGGTAGGAAACTGCTTCGTCAAGCCCTCATAAATCTGACTAGAGAGCCACTGCCATACCCAACTCTTTGAGCTTCTCTTTAGTTTTAATCAACTGCCTCCTATGACCATTCAACCAGTCTTTCCTTCTTCTTCTTCTTCTTCTTCTTCTTCTTCTCCATATGATGTCTTTCTGAGTTTTAGAGGCGAGGATACACGCACCAATTTTACAGATCATTTGCGCAATGCTCTGGTTGGTAAAGGGATCCACACCTTCATTGATGATGATGAGCTTCCAAGAGGAGAAGAAATAGCGCCAGCCCTTCTCAAAGCAATTGAAGACTCAAGAATTTCTCTCATTGTATTCTCTGAAAACTATGCATCTTCGAGGTGGTGTTTGGATGAACTTGTTGAGATCCTTCGATGTAAACAATCAAAGCAGCAAATAGTTTGGCCCATTTTTTACAGGGTGAATCCATCTCATGTGCGAAACCAAACAAATAAATTTGGTAACGCATTTAACGGCCTTATTGAAAGCAAATTCAAAGATAATGCGAAGAAGGTGCTCATATGGAGGGAAGCTCTTACAAAAGCAGCAAATTTGTCCGGACATCCTTTCAAGGATGGAGAGTATATTTCTATCTTTATCATTTTCAAGTTTAATTTTTTTCTCTCTTCTTTCTCTAGTTACACATTTAATTGTTACTCTTAAAGAAAGGTATCCTTTTTAAAAAATATTAAATTGTAGGGAGAAGGTTCAAAACCCCCTTTAGTTTCTTCAAAAGGCATACAAGTATAAATGATACATAACATTAGGTTTGTGCGTACTTCATTAAAAATGTGTCTAATTTGGTTAAACTGGCAGGCATGAAGCTACATTTATCAACAACATCGTTGATGGAATCTTAAGCCAAGGACTGAGCCGCACATATTTGAATGTGGCCAAGTACCCAGTTGGAATTCAATCTCATGTACAAGATGTGGAAAGGCTTTTAGATGTTGGTGGGAATGGTCGTCGCATGGTTGGGATATGGGGAGCATCTGGAATAGGCAAGACAACAATTGCAAAAGCTATATGGAATGGAATTGCCCATAAGTTTGAAGGAAGTTGTTTCTTGCCAAATGTTAGAGAAGGAAGTTTAATCCAGCTACAGGAGAATCTTCTTGATAAGATTCTAGGCAAAAAATTGAAAATTGGCAATGTTGATGAAGGATTTGGTGTTATAATGGAACGGTTGAGGCATAAAAAAATTCTATTAATTCTTGACGATGTAGATGAATTGGAGCAGTTAGACAACTTGGCTGGAGATGATTGGTTTGGTGAGGGTAGTAGAGTAATCATTACTTCAAAAGATATGAGATTGCTAGACAATCGTGATATTGAGTTGATATACGAGGTGAAGAAGTTATATTACAACCAACTTCTTGAGCTTTTCAGTTGGCATGCATTCGGAAGAACTGAACCTCCAAAAGATTATTTGGAACTCGCACAACGTGCAATAGCTTTTGCTGATGGCCTTCCGCTAGCTCTAACAATTTTAGGTTCTCATCTTCGTAATAGAGGAATACGATGTTGGCAAGTTATATTAGATGGTTACAAAGGAGAGCCTTATACACATATTGAAAGAATACTTCAAAAAAGTTATGATGCCTTGGATGATGACACGAAAGAAGTTTTTCTCAACATTGCATGTTTCTTCAAGGGTGCAAATAAGGACGTTGTGCTACAGATAGTCCCCCAAAATTGCATTGAGGTACTCCTTGATAAGGCAATGATAACCATTGAATGGGATGATAGGATTTTAATGCACGACTTGCTAGCAAACTTGGGCAAGAATATAGTTCACAAAGAATCCCCCAATGATCCCGGCAAGCGCAGTAGATTGTGGTTTTACGAGGATGTCAAGCTAGTGCTAACGGAAAATACGGTAAGTATAATGTGTTATTATATTCGATTTGACAAGATGTGCTTGCATTTTGGTTTGTAAAATGACTCCCTTTTTTTAATCTTAATGCTTTTCTATCTTAGGGAACAAGAAATATTAAAGGCATCATTGTGAAGCTTCCAGAATCAGCTGAGATAAACTTGAATCCAGAATGCTTCCGTAATATGGTAAATCTTGAAATTTTCATAAACCGCAATGCATCTCTATGTGGGCACATTAACTATCTGCCCAACGCGTTAAGATTGATTGATTGGGATAGATGTCAGTTACAATCTTTGCCACCCAATTTTCAAGGAAATCGTCTTGTTGAGTTCAATATGCCTTGCAGTCATATCAGACAATTGGAGGGATTTAAGGTATGTATTTGAAATTCTTTTCATCTGTTATATATAATTTCAAATAGAGTTGTTAATTTAAGAAGGAAAAAAATGAAAATTGTTTTTTAAGTTTTTGTCTTCTGAAGCGTGTGATTAATTATTTCTTGTTTTTGTGTTCTTGTCTCACAGCATTTGTCAAAGTTGACATCTATGAATTTGAGGGGTTGTCAATTCTTAGAAAAAATCCCTGACGTATCCGGAATCCCAAATATAAAGTACTTGAATCTACGTGAGTGCACACTTTTGTTTGAGGTCGATGGTTCTGTTGGATTCCTTGATAAACTTGTTCAATTGGATCTTGGTGGATGCTTCAATCTTACAAGGTTTGCAACAAGACTTAGATTGAAATCTCTTGAAGAACTTGATCTTAGGGATTGCAAAAGGCTTGTGAGTTTCCCAGAAATAGAAGTCCAGATGGAATCACTACAGCATTTGAACATATCAGGAAGTGGCGTAAGAGAATTGCCTTCATCAATAGCATATCTTACTGGGCTTCGAGAATTGTATCTTTCTGGATGCTTCAATCTTACAAGGTTTGCAACACTTGGATTGAAATCTTTTGAAGAACTTGATCTTAGTAATTGCGAAAGGCTTGAGAGTTTCCCAGAAATAGAAGTCGAGATGGAATCACTAGAGACTTTGGGCATATCAGGAAGTGGCGTAAGAGAATTGCCTTCATCAATTGCACATCTTACTGGTCTTGAAGTATTACAACCTGATTATTGTGAGAACCTTACAATTACGGTGAACTCTCAAGTTTCATCCAGCAACTCCGAATTACAGCTGCTTCCCAACCTAATTGATTTTAGACTCAGAGGATGCAATCTATCAAAAATTAATTTGCTCCTGCCCCTTGATTGCTGGTCCACATTAACAGTACTTAATCTATCGCGAAACAATTTTGTCAATCTTCCGATATGCTTTACCAAATTTGTCAACTTGCGGAATCTTGACTTGAGTGATTGCAAAAGTCTTCTGGAAATTCCAGAACAAGTGCTTCCACCAAGAGTAACTTGGGTATTGCTGGATAACTGCACATCATTGGAAAAAATTCCAAAACTGGCTTGGGTATTGATGGATAACTGCACATCATTGGAGAAAATTCCAGAAATCTCACCGGGGAATGATGAAATGTATCTGGGTTTGACCAATTGCGTTAGACTACGTGGCTATGACATCACAGAAAATATTTTTCTGAATCAGGTTTCTGTTTCTTCTCTACATTCTCATTTCAACATTAGTCTTCCAGGCAATGAAGTTCCAAAGTGGTTCAGCTGTCGTAAAGATGCAACACTAGCTAAAGTTAAAAAGAAGGAAGTGGAGGAAGAGGAGGAAGAGGAATATTACCATGCTGGATGTGAAGTTAGTTTTGAAATTCCTCCAAATTTAAAATTGGAGACGTTAAGATTGGTTCTATGTGTTGTTAGTATTGCTCATGCCAAGATTCTTCTCAATGGAAAACTCGTCAATGAGAGTGGTATTGGATTATATGAGAGACATATTGGATTACGGGAAAGTCATGTGTGCCTCGAGTCTATTCCATTATTGGATAGGCGAAACGCGTACGAGTTTGAAGAACCACTGACGAAGCAGGGTAATACGTGTCAAGTTATATTTGACTTGTCTGGCGAAGTGCCCACACCCGTTAAAATTCCCTGCGGGGTCCACCTATTAGGTCACCAAGTTGTTGATGTCAGTGAGACTGATGTTGTTGATCATGGGCCAATGCAGTTGTTGTTACCTGATGCGATGGCAGTGGACGATGATATTTACGATGATCAACACCAAGACTGCGAATTGCTTTCCTTGTCTTTAGGATCAAAGACTAGTCTTGGCAAGAGGCCTCGCCAATCATATTACATGGCACTTCATGATGATCATCGTGCTAACATCGTCGACATTGGTGATCATGAAGCTCAATGGCTTACCTTGTTTACGGGACCAGCGGATCACCAAAAGAGGAGGCACATTGATCCTAATGAGGAGCCAAAGTATGTAAATCCATTAAATTTTGAATGATATCTTTGCATTTTCTGGTCATATATCTGCGTTTTGTGCTCAATTCAAATTTATCAATATTTTGCTGTGCATCTCTGGGGTATATGTTGTAGTTTTCAGGGTGTGAGTTTTTTTTCTTCTTTTTGTTTTGGGTTAAATCTTTTTTCTTAACGCTCTATATTCGATATTAAATTTTCAGGCAATGAAGTTCCAAAGTGGTTTATGTGAGCCCTAGGTTCAGCTGTTGAAAGGAACCCAATTTCCAACAATGGTCTGGTAATCAAGTGGTGTGTTAACAATTTCTGAGATTCCATTTTAAGTTGCATAAGGCAATACCTTTCTTCTCAATTGATGCATCCAGCATTTATCCAGGGATGAACAAAGCTGGATTTATGTAATGCTTTCATTCCACACATATTTTGTCTATGATTCTTCTATCTCATTCACTGGCATCCAAATATGTCCAACATATTTCTGTTGAAAGATTATGTCTCATTATACTAGTGATGTTGCTGGTATTGGCAAGGTACAAGAATCCCAGCATGTCTAAATCATGTGAAGTTGCTCCAACTCAACTGCAGCATTTTTGATAATCCTGCAAAAGACACAAAATGGGATTTGGAACAATTGAAACTGCAAGATGAAAATTTTGATGGGCAGCGATAGTATCATCCATATTTTGTAGTTTTCGAACTCTTGTCTAGATTGCGAATGGATTTTGGTTCTTTGAATACCAGTTGCTGTTTGAACAGCCCTGGTGGAGCTAACATCTCCAATGACTCCATTTACCCAAAAAGAATTTGGCTTTAGAAACTATGAAAAAGACACCAGGAATTACAACTTTATTCTTTGTTCACGAAAGCGCATTATTATTGTCATTGCATGACCGGATAGCTACTATAGATGTCGACTGTTCAATTTTATCCACCAAAAATTACAAGGGGCTTCTCATAGTAAAAAAGATAACTAGAACTTATAATGGGAACTGACACCAAGTAAAACTTATGACAGGAATAAATGTCCCTACAACCAAAACGAAAATTCACTTCATACAGAATTATTATAACGAGGGAGCAGTACGCAGCAGTGTAAATGCAGACACATATGCACAGCATCCATGGAGCGCTCCAAACTGCCCACATTGCCGCAAAGAAAAAGCTCCCCATTGAATTGGCTCAAAACAACATATTCAAGCATCACTAACTTGGTTATATTCCTACATAAGCCACACTCTGCAACAAATACATGCCTATACCTCATTTTTCCGCAGGAAACTAAAAGAAAATAAAACCACCCGTAGAAAAACAACTGATTCAATTATGCAAAAATTAGGTTATACTGAACAAACATGGAGCAATTTTTTATCACCCTAGACCAAAGTGAGGGTAAAACAGTAACTTCTATGACTTTTACCAACCCCTATATCAGCAAAGTTCTAGAAGATGGCACCTTGATAGCCAACTAGTGCAGCAAACTTCCATGTTCATTATATGCACCTCAGGCAAGATATCCACTTCTCTCTGAGCTGAAATTTCAAAGGCATATATTTTAAAAAGAAGAACAAACACACTTCAGTTTGAACAAGTAAGATACAAATCTACACACAAATACAAACGGTGCTTTTTTTATGAATAGATAACCGAAAACAAAAATGAGAGAAGAAAAGTTCAAACCGATGAAATACTCTTAAAATACGGAATTTATGGTTACGCTTCTTAAGCAAATGGAAAAAAAAATTACTGTGCCCAACCCTCTCATGTTTCTATAACTACACCACGACCCTGCTGATTCCAATCAAAGAAAATTTGTACTTAAAATTATCTTTTAATCCCAATTCTTAAGAAACAAATTTTTAAAATTATGATTTGCACTAAGCTAATATGCCCCTGTGCGGGGCTCCCTTTGGGGGCCCACATGCATATGGGTCACATCTGGACGATTCCCCAGCACAATTTTCTTTACATGTGAGGAAGTGTGTGTTTGATGTGCATAAGCTTTCTGTGTAGTTTAGGTAGGCTACAAATTTTTGTTCATTACTACAAAAATTGAAATAGATGACGGGGGAAAACCGTCGTCTTTTTGCATTGAAAACTATCGTTATATCGACCGACATCTTTTGAATGACAAACTACGACGGTGCACCGTCGTCTATTAAATGTAAAAATGATGCTTTTACTACGAATGTCTATTAACTGTAAAGACAACGGTTTTTTTGAAAAGAACTGTCGTCTATTATTTCTAAAGAAGGACAGGTTCAACAAGATCCACAAGACAAAGAGCACGAAGGGCCGAGAATTTCAAAAGAAAGGAGGCTAAGGTTTGGAGCTTCACAATTATCAGGAGCTTTAGGACAGAGATTGAAAAGATGCAAACTAGAGGGGTTCGCGAAGGGCCGCGAATTCACTTAAGCGAAATTTTTATTAGCCCGTATTGGAAAGACGACCTTGACTTCTTTCAACCGTCGTGCTATTAAAATCAACTAAGGGTTTCGGACTCCACAACGACGGTTATTATAACACCAGTCATTGTTTGTAATGGTTTTTTAAACCACAACGGTTTTTTCATTTTGCTTCATGTATTGTTGTTTTATATTATTGTAGTAGTGGTTCTACATGAGGTCATTGAAATAACGAAAATTGGGAAAGTAAATGAAACTGCCCTTATATGCATCTTAAACAATTATTCCCTGACCTCATTACCAAATTTAAGAAGCATGGAAAATTCCTTCCAATCAAAGTCTAAAAAATTACAAACTTCCCAGTGATATTTGAATACGCCTATTCCTCCAAAACTGAGTTTGAGGGATACCTTGACGGATTCATCATTTGAATATGCCTCTGCCAGGAATATTCTTCCCAAAATTTCTACATGAAGAAAAGAACTAAGAGGACAGAATGTGCCTGAAGAAATACAGATGGAAGCTTTGTCTCCCCGTTTATACGCAAATATGACTCCACCTGCACATAAAGAAGTTTAATTCTCTAACATGCCGAAACATGCAAAGCAAGGAAATGGGTCAAGACAGAATGCAGAAGCAAGCAATGCACAAAATGTTGTAAACATACTACTAGCATATAATCCTCAAATGTTACACTAATAGCAGTACTATAAAAAGGTGAATGCAGCCTTCATCTTTTCTGCTCAATTTATCAGGGATTGTTGAACTCAATGGCAAAAAGAACGAAAACCCTTAGCAATTTTTGCAAACCCAAAATGTTTTTCAATTCCCAATGAGGTAAACTAAATCTCAAGGAAAAATCCACCTTTGAGGTCTCAAACGTTATATGCATCAAATGGTTTCAGAGTAACTTACATAATTTTATAACTAACTAGAACACGTGGCACCTGTAAGTTATGTGTCAAATTCTTTGACGTGAAAACTCATCCTCCTAACATGATGCGTCCATGATTTTCCCATCAATTGTTGATGGTCTAAGTTAATGGATGAGACTATTTGAGGAGTCTAAATATTTAAGGGACACATTGACCAAAAGTTCAACAGTAACCATTGAAATCACACAAAATTTAGGGAGGCATGCTATAACATTTCTTTACCGTATAGTAACTAAAATAGCACCTTTTTAGTGACATTGAATGAACCATTTATAAACATAAGGTGCAAAATTACTGCAGATGATCTCAACTGACTATCTGCAGAATCATCATCCTCTCCAAATCCCTCAGCAATCAACTTCATCAAGTTATGTGCCACCTTGACATTTACCAAATCTCTCGCATGTTCAGACACTTTATTCAATGTCAGGCATGGATGACATCGACTGTTTAATAAGCAATATCAAAATATTCCATCTATATGTATTACTATTACCTGGATAAACCATTGATTACTTGGTGCAAATTGCTCTACATTCTCCACACTTCGAGAAGCTATATATGTTTTGTAATTGTTATCATTAATGCTAATCAATATCTATCATACGATCCACAATCACTTCCACATTGGAGGACTTGGTCATCTTGTACAATCGTTAAAATGTTTTTCGCTTCAGAATATCATCTGGGTCCTGCATCATGCACACCAAACTTCATCTAAATTAAAAGTTTAAAGCATGATTTGAAACCAATCCATCAAACCCAACAGAATTCTCTCACCTCTAAGCAATCAGTGCCCATATATTTATTGCTCTGCTATCTCT